CTCAAAGTGCCCGCATAGCAATCAAAAGTTCGCCGGTTCGATCCTGAGAAAAGCCAGTAGCTTTTTGATGGTTTGGAGCTGGACCCAGCTGTTACTTATCATTGGGCTTTAAATGACTGATCATGACTAATGAAACAACTGATCTAAGTCCTTTACGAAACTACACGTATAATTACACTCCATTCTACACTCATCCTTCACTCATATTTGGGTAAAAATAAACACCTCGCATATTTTTTGTGGCGTCCCCTTACAAATTGATAATGGTAATGCTTACGAGTTGAAAATATATAACATTTTTGTAAAAGTGTAGGATTTACTTAACCTCTAAATCAATGGGGTGAAAATTGAATTCCAAATTCTAAAACCAGCAAGAAATAAAGTAAATTGGGGTGGCTAGATTTGTCAATTGATGCCATCGATAAAACCAGTAGCTTGCTCTCAATTGGCTTACAATCCCTGCGATTTACAGGAATAATGATTCCTGTAATAGCTATACTAGCTAATGATAGCTGTACTAGCTGGTAACATAAAATATTATGTAAACAGCTAGTCATTTTATTAACAAGAGAAACATAAAATTTTTTGTTAAAAAGGTTGAATTTGGTGGTGGACATCGCACGAATTGACAACTGGTAACCAGAGTGGTTGTCAATTCGTACGTCAATCCATAACCACATATTGAATATTTAGGGGTTAGTAAGCGATTTACGAACCATTTCCTAGATTTCGGTATGTGAGTTCATGCTTCAGACGAATTTGACCATCTTTACTATCAATTTCTATATAATCAAGTACTAGTTGTCCTTCATGGTGTAAAATGATGTCTTATATTTCTACAAGCTTTTATTAATTTTGTAGATCAAACCTTATCAAGGTTTAATCTTGTAATGTGACTGTTAAAAGAACCATCCCACGTATGTTCCGCTATTAACCATATCAATCCTGAATGATACACGTTTAGGACAAGATTCATTTAGTTTGTTATAGTGAACCATTTATAATTAAGTAGCTTAAAATAATTCAAACCTAAACTCCGAAGAAATTTTACTAATAATCAATAAACTATCCACATTAAGTAGGTCCCTATAACCATTGACTAAGGTTTCCCTTGTCTGTGCTATAACCTACAGCTCCCTAGCAGCACATCTCCTGCACTTGTTTACGGATGATGTCCTCAGGAAATAGAGGCGACAGAGGTGAGTTAGGAAGGATAAAACCATCAGAGGAAATAGGCGTGTCGTGCAAACGATGATAAAGTAAGGAGAAGATACAGTACGGGCTATTATATCGAGGTAAATGTCCTTGTAGAATAATTGCCTACTTACCAACAGTTGCCCTAGGCGTTGAAACGTGTTTGGGATAGTTTATAGAACTGATGATGAGGGGTGTGTGGATGGTTTATAGTTTAATGTATCGGCATATGTAGATGTGTTGCCGTGGTAAAACAGAGGTTATTAGTGATATTTTATACATTTTCATTTTTCCCTAACTATTGTTATATAAAAACAACAATATGTTCTGTAATCCGAACTATTCAATAGTCCGAACTACCCCCGGTCCCAATTAGTTCGGATTAAAGAGGTTCTACCTCGGTGTTCATATTTCTTACTTATCATTGATTGCTAATTTTTCCAAATTATCTTTTTAGTGTCCTTCCAAAAGGAATGTTCAACGATCTCTTCTAAGGGAATTAATCCAATCACATAAAAAGTTTGTGGATGTGTCAGTTATCGAACCCGGTCCCCTCTCAAGTTAAAGGTAATCGTTTGTTAGGGGATGATGCTATAGCACCATCTCCACTTTTGTGGGGGTGACAGGTTCGATCCAATCCTTAGCTTTTTTTATATTTTTTGTAACAAATGCACACTTATTTCACAGCAGAGGCTCGATAACAAGTCACCTTTGATAACAAGGTTAATTTTCAAATAATATCCTTGAAATTATTTTAGCCCTGATCACATGTTATTGTAAGCCACGAATCTGCAGTTTGTGTTTATTTTAGTTTCACAATGCTAATACTAAAAATAGTAAAACAAAACCTTTGCTCACATGGTTGGTCCATTTTTTCTTTCATCTTTTTTCAACCGAATATAGCCTTGATCTACTTAGTTTGAAGTAAAGGTGACAAACTAAAATCCATGTTGAGCAGATGAAATTGTCAAAAGAATCAGGCCGAATTTTAAATCTGCATTAATTGACTTTGAAAAGTACTTGATTGAAAAGTAAGTCTCATAAAGTGCTTTTGAAGTTAAAATACTAATTTAGGTAAAAATACAATTGCTCATGATGTATATAATGCAAGATATTTACCAAATGACCTAAGATATTAAAGAAGGTCTTTGATTTCCTTTTTACATTTTAGGCAATTATATAGTGAATGATTATAGGTATTTCGATAAGGTAACGGATTTAAGTCCCTCGACTTCAGCTTTAGGTTTAGTTTTTATGTAAATAAATACATTTTCTAAAAAAAAATTCAATAGAAATTTCTAGGCACTAAAAAATAATATCCTAGCAGCAAACGCATATAATTAAAATTCACTGCGCAATGTCTTGATTGATAGCAGGCCATTTTGACCCGCGGCGTGGCGGGTTGCGCTGATAATAATCAGCTGTTCTCCAGCTGGCCATGACGTCATCCCCCTGGAGCTGTAGGTATATGTAATGAGGAGTGAGTGTGGTGATGTATATCACAGAGTATAATGTGTGTTGGAGTAGTAGAGAGTTTCTGACAAAGGAGAGGATAAAGAGGATAAGCAACCAAGGGAAACTAAAGATTTTTTAGATTGTTTTATTAATTACACTTAATTTAGTTAGTAGTAGTAATAAATCGTGATATTAGTAGTAGTAGTATTTTGCAGTGGTAGCTATTATAGTATATGTTTTAACACAATTAAATGTGTAAAAGTTTAGTTATGCATTTATATAACTATTTTGACCTTTGGCTGACACAATGATAATGTAAAAAACTATTATTCCAGTACGTATGGCTATTATAGAGATAAATACTGTCCTTGCGGTGGATTGAAATTCACCGCACATTGCAAATAATTATTAATAAATTATTTTCACTTGGTAAACAAAATAGCCGTATGCCATTGTTCCACCTCATATGTTGTGTTATTTTTTGTCCAATATGATTCCCGGCGGTGGTCATACAGGTAACTTATCCATAAGGACAGTTTGAACGATAGATTCACCTAATTTTGTTTTACTTCCCATTGTTTTACGTTGTAAGCCTGCTAGTTCTCCAGTTTTTAACCGTGCACTAGTTATCCCTATTCCTAAAAGGAATTTTTGCTGAACTCTTAAATTTATTTTTATAAATTTATAAATCTTTATTTATTTATTAACTCAAACATTCATAAATGTGGGTGGTGTTCCCAAACGTTGGGACTGATATTAAAACCAATCGCAAAGACTTTTGTTTTCAAACTACCTATTTATGTTGCATACTTCTAAAACTGTTGAAGTTTGTTTACTTTGATTTATTTAAGCTCATTTTTAACCAGTCCAAAAAGTTTTATACACATGTATATTCTTCTAGCTTAAGTAAGGGGGAAGTCATGATCATAAAGTATGTAAGGCTAGTGTTTACGTCTCGAACTTCAGTGTTACAGAGACGCGTCCAATTCCAGGCAGATCCCCAATTTTAAGGGTTTACCCAGCTTTCCCAAAGCGTTTGAGTTACTTTCCACAATGCTACTGGCTTGAACACAAACATTAAACAAGTGGTACTTAGCAGACGTTATCTTTTCTGCAAGAGACTTTCCCTCGCAAACTTGAACCAGGCTTACATCTGGCGGGAACGGCGAGGACAGGGTCAAGGTAGTTAGGCGTTGCTGACCTGGAGGTCTACAGTGACGTCACCATCTCCCAGAACTCCGCTTCCCGCTGCGACAGAAATATGAGGTTGCACCTTTGTCGCCTCCGTTGAGATCTCTCTGATGTATATTTCACACTAACAAGCAAACCACACTTCGCATCTTGTGTTGCAAAAATACGCGGTTCAATTTACTTAGTTTATGGGAGCTGCAGAAAGATGAAGAGAGATTTTATCTCGCTAAAAAAGCTTTGTCTGCTCCCACAATTTATGGTTTTTAGTTTTTTAGTTCGTTATAGAAGAAGTTGACAATACAAATGATTTGTAGGTACTGTCTGATATATTTTATTTTGGCATCCGAACGTGCGAGGAAGTCCCAACTAACAAAGAATATTGTATACAACTTTAATATGGGGGTGGGATATCTTGTTGTATAAATGTGTCAATATTCAAAGGTATCATTTACTGAACAATAGTTATCTAGTGTTGCTTATGTTTGCCATTTAATTATTTCGCAATAGCTAGGTTTAAAATTATTTGCACAGTTTACCATTGCTTATCTGAACAATGGTTCTCAAACTGTGTTTATTTGAATTGTAGTAATTCTTACATGAACAAGTTTTGCAGTATTGTATATGTAAAAATGTAGCATTACTTGCTACGATTGTGTGATGTTTAGTTGCACAGTTTACCATTGATTTCATAAACAATAGTTCCCAAACTGTTAATTTGCATTGTAGTAATGCAAACATGAACAAAAGGTAGTGTTGTTTAGTTAGATTGGTTACTATGCAAAAGTTTTGTATTGTTGTTCATGTGCACAATTTAGCATTTTGCTACAATAGTTTTACAGTGTTATTTATTTGCACAGTTTACCATTGCTTTCATAAACAATAGTTCTCAAACTGGGTTTATTTGCATTGTACTGATGCATACATGATCAACATGTATTGTTGTCTAGATAGATTGATCAATCGTGCGAAAGTTGTTCAGTGCTGTTTATGTGCACAATTTAGCATTACTTACCTGAACAATTGTTTCCTGTGTTGTTTATTTGCATAGTTTACTCATACACAAATTTCTAGTGTCGCTTATGTGTACAATGTAGCATTACTTGCTACAATTGTTCTCAGTTGTTTATTTGCACAGTTTAACGTTGTTTCCTCTGTTGCAGTGGAAGTCTCGCTGGTGCGTTGTACGGAAGCTCTCTCCAGTTGCAGGTAAACAATGTTGTTTATTGTTTCCTCCCACTCTCCTGTCCCCCCCCCCTCTTCCTACTAAGATTGCGGGATTCCGCGCAAAATATCACCTGGAGCTTGCAATCTCTAGATGGAACAGAAATGCCAGAAAAAATGTATACGAACCTTTGTTTCAATTTCAACATTAACAATTAAAATAATCTTTTTTGTTGAATGCATAATTAGTTCTTTTGTATGTAAATAAATTTAGTTTTGTCTTTTAAATCAACCGATAATGCATTTAGAACGAACGAGGAAAATATTAGACTATATTTTTACTGATTAAAAGGCCTGTAAAAAACTAAAGGATTTATTTTAAATCACTTAATTATTTATTTAAGAAAATAAATTATTGAGTGATTTATTATAACATACTTGATTTTACTTAACGGTAGCTTATATAACTGCTTAAAAAGTGAAGAAATTGGATTAACGAATTATTGGTCTACTATATTTTGTTTGTCAAAATTAAACTTCAGATATTTTAAACACTTTATAGGCTACTACAAACTTTTACTTGGGTATAAAATACTTTAAAGTTAACTAGTGTGTTATGATCTTAACTAACAAATGTCTACCAATTGTTTTAAATTTTACACGAGAAAAATGTTGCACTCTATTTCTTTACTAATGCATTGGATAACACAATTATTTTGGATAAAACACCCGCAATTTTACCAATTCAAGACACCAATTTCCCTCCAGGACGTGTTGTTATCAGTAACACGCCGTGTTATCTGTTATCAGTGACAGACGACACGCGGCTGAACAACCGTGTTATCTATAGGGATCGTACGCTTTGTTCTAAGACCGTATTTATGGCTCAGCTTGACTTATTGCGTTTACCTTTGGTAGGTGTAATTTATTGGGATAAAACCACGGAAATAAATTTATCGTTTATAGGTTTGACAAGTAATGTTTTTGTGTATCAGCGTTTTTGTTTGACTTTGGGGAGCTAAATTGCTAGGTATGGCTGATTTCGAGTTTCAGTCGACATCCAAGAAAATTCAAAAGTGTTATTATTCTTGTGATATAAATCATGAAAATGTTGTTTCCACTATCACACAAACTATCGAATGATCGCAATTGGATGCGGTTTGTTTAGTTAGGTCAGTAAAAGGTTGATAAAAAAGTGTTAACATAGCAAGAAATAACTTTTCAAATGCAATGGTAAATTTTTTAGTCTATATAATTATATTGCATACGCTTAATTGTAGAGTTATATTGGCTTAGTAATTATTTTAGTGTATTTAGGGTAAAAAGTAGTTCACTATGTTACCAGTCTACAGTAATTATGCCTACATTTTGGATATTGTCCTACACGAAATTTATCTTCAAAACCCCCTTTTGGAAATATAGGATATGTTGGAGACATAAAGATATACAGAAAACTAAAGTGAATAATTATCAAAAGATAATGCGAGAAGATTGCTCAAATTAATAGGTCTACAAGTCCACCCTATTTTCTATATAGGTGCACTTAAGTGTTAAGATAAATTCTAAACCATAGTGTCAGCACTATAACATGGCTTAACATCTTTAGTCACCGATAGGATTTTAACTGGGCGATTAAGTACATATCCCCCGTTCTTTACCCGGTTCACTTTGTGTCTTGTGGTTCCTAAACAGTATACTTACAACTTACCCGTTACATATAGAAAGGTTTTTGAACTTGGAAGTCCGATTTCATCAATGCCGATTCGCCTCACTCATATCACTCGACCTAATGAAAACTCGACCAATAACATCGATTTAAACATGTAATTCATGCAGAAACCAATTACACGTATGAATAGAACTCATCGCAAACGGCCTCTACATCAATGGAAATGCGCAGTGCTGCGTTCACTGGCAATACATACTTTCTGTATTAATCACGGCCTTCTATATCTACGTTTGTCGTATTTTGTAATCACACTAGTAGAATATTAATACCCTTATTTTCATTAGAGTATCCTTAACTATATATCATATTTATAGCTGTGGCCATACATTTTAAAAGCGGCAATAACTGATTTTACCATCATAATTAACTAATCATAACACACAGATTCACTTTTTACTTGTATAAAATGTCATTTAGGTAATGTTATTTGCTCACTAGTTGTTAAATGTTAACGTAACGTCTCCGCTGCTAGTTGGTGTAGAAACAATAACTGTAAAATCAGCTGATTTACCGAGCGGGAACGATACATTCCCGCTCTAGAGCGGAAATGAGCTATTTTCCGTACTGTTTACAGGTGTGGAAATGTGTTCCTTTCCATGCATTTGGTAGGAAAAATCATTTATTGATATGTGTGAATGTCTTTTTGTACCTCTGATACGTGCTTAACATATAACTGAACCTTATTCTCTCTAAATGTGCCTTTTGGCAGATTAAAACCCTACTGTTAGGTCCTCGTTCACTTCGGTTTCAAAGTTTCCATGTTGATGAAACTAAGTGGTATTTTTGCAGCAAGTCAGCTGATTAGCCTTAGGAAATGTTGTTACCATAGACAGTAAACAAATGATACAAACAAATGTATTTAAATGTGAATAATGGGATTTGTTTGTTTATTTACTGTATTCGGCTCAATATCAATGCTATGTCAGTTGGTTGATGTGGTATTTTATTTTCGGTATTTCATATAAATTTTATTTTTCGCAGATGGGACTTACTATAATCCAAAAAGAGGATTATAACCCTGATCCTACCATTCATTTCACATTTATTTCTCGTCTTTACTCTTAACGCTTTTCACACATGAAACGTCGCATCCACTAACACTAATCCTGTCCAAACCTTCACACTTTGACACTTTCATGACGTGTGAATGACAGCGTGAACTTAAGCTTTGCCAAATACATTTGTAAATTTTATCAATATAAGTTCATTACGATATAACGATTGAGCTAAAATGTGAGGATAAAACGTTAGTTAATATAGTTTTTTATTTATATAGTTACATATACTGTTTACTTCGATCTATACTTGCTTAACGATTTTAGTGTTGTAATGTCGTTTATTTCAGTACTCGTTTTATAGTAAAACATATGTTTGGATTTGCCTATTCCGTTAGGTTTTTGAGATACAATCAAATAAACAATTGTATTGTAGTGGCTAAAAGAAGTAACCTTTAAATTTCTTATATAATTTAACATTTCCAAATAAATAGTCAGTTGTTGATTTTAAATTGTATACAAAAATTAACATTACAATTTTTTATAGTTTCTTTTCTGTTAATTTTCATATTACCAGATAAAAAACGATGAAAAGATCTACCAAAAAGCGTATTTTTATACAAGTTCTTCCATATCCTATGATTAATTTGACGGATTGTTCTACTACTTGATTCGACCATGCTATGAAACATTGTATAAAACAAAGATAAAAATACTTTACTTTAGAGTTATTGATTAAAACATCTATAACTACCGTAACCATTAGTTGTTTAGAATTTTTTTATAAACAAATGCATCACCACTATATCTAAACAAAATATTCTACTTTATCTTATTTGTATCAATAGAAAACTAATGTCAATTTTAATATTTTTCCATTGTTATTATTATTTTTGTATAAAACACAGTATGCTAATTCCAAACCTTTAGAACAAAAAATGATGAAAGTCTTTTTAGTTGAAGGTCTTTTAGATGAAGGTGAAGTATTAGTTTATCCAGACAGGAATATGCCTGTGACATTTCTATTTACAGTGGTGTTGATTGACACCTAACTTAAATAAATTTATAAATATTATTTGCTTAGTTTAACTAGGTACTTAGATAAATGGCATTGAAGATAGTTATTAGCAAGAAAATTTGTTGATACAGAGTAAACCAAAGTAAAAAAAATAGGGATATAAACAGCACGACGTGCAGTTTACAGTAGATTTGAATATCGAAATGACGTAAAAATGATATAGGGTAGTTATATTGCTGTAATTACTTTAATTGCTTATGACGTAATTACTGTGATGTTAACTTAATTAAGTTAGTCTATCTGTTTTTATTGTCACTGTTACTTTAACGTAGACTTCAGTTGTACGCGGCGAAAAAACGTACTACAGCTACGAATACTCGTTATAATTACCAACATATGGTTTTATGTGTTACGGTATTCTCTTTTATTGCCAACATATGGTACGAAATTAGTTAACTCCTTCGCCAACTTTCATTAATACAACAGGTACAGAAATATAAAATAGATCCACATGATCCAATCTGCGGCCTTTTTAGATAAAAATTAATTTTAATCGTAAAAACTGTATTTAATTGTTTACTGATCGCAATTTATGTGAATACTGAGTTCTAGGAGCGGAGTTCTAGGAATTAAGTGTAAATAAAAAGTACTCAAAATTACATGTGCATTTTACTGTTTCATCGTACACACTTGTAGTTTGAAACCCACATGCCATTTAACTGTAAGTTATCTAAGTAAATGAACCATTTAATATTTTAAAGTCATATATCTATATCGTATTTTGAAGAAATTTTACTGAGAATTAACTAAAAATGTATCAATAAAGAGCCTTATTAAATATAAAAGCCTCTCCCTTTGTCCAAGCGATTTTGATGTAGTTACTGACGAAAGGATGTTTTAATATCTTGTTTAGTTAAAGAGCAATTAAAAGTTTAATAGGAAACTTCATAAAGGAGGACTTTCATTTATTTTATTTTTCCATTCATCGATGTTATTCTTTTTCAGCCCTAATGATCTTTTAAATAAAAGAGGTTCCTAGCCTCTTGGGCACTGCATACTTTTTAATTATAATTATAATGAACCAATCAATAACGTGAACAATAATTAGTGTTGATGTGTTTTTAGAAAATTTGATTCTATAAAATCAAATACAACTAACTTTTTTGTTATGTACACGATTATCGGAAAGACATAAGAGTATTTCAATCACATTGTAAGATGTGGAATAATTTATTTAATAATAAATATCGTTCTTAGGCATCACTATTGAGAATTGAAGCGATGGGTGCACGTGTTTCGTAGT